CTCCCACTTCTACAAAGTAATCACAGGAACCAAAGGGAAACTTCAGCAGTCAGATCGACCCCCACCTCCCCACCCCCACTTCCTCACCCCCATGTCCCCTGAATTTCACCTGTACCTGAGGTCACCATGAGAAGAAACAGAGCAGAAAAGATTAAGAAAGATGACAGAAGTCAAGCCCCAACCTCCTGGGGGCTCACTCAGGTGTGCGCATCTGCTCCCCGAATCTGTGGTGGTAATTAAAGAGAATGATTTTTACATTTCAAGATATTTTCAGTTTATCCCGCTCTGATGTCTGAATTTGAATGCAGCTGAAAGTTAAAGGTACTAATTAATTGTGAATCACTCCAATACTTGAATATAAGGCCTCTCGAGTCCAATGTGCAAATTTATGTAAAAACAATGTGAAAATTAGAAATGCATTGCCACATTTTTTTAACAAGAACTGTAGCACTTGTCTAGGCGAACAGACTGCTCATTTGCAAGCTGTCTATATGCAAAGCATTCTGCCCCTGGGAGCTTAAAATCTCCTTAGCACATCTTCTGAAATTTGAGAAGAGCTTCCTTCAGAAGCTTCTTTCTGCTGTCTACACTCCCCATGTCCCCATGCAGTGTGGCTGCCTTCAGCCCTGCACACTCACCCGGCCCTCGCCCCGTCAAGGGTTGAACTGAAATTCAGTTTTTCCTGTTCCTTTAAAATGACTGTTCATGTAGAAAGAGGTAACTTCTGAATAAGCTAACTCCAAAAACATGACTGCGTTGATCTTCTGTGCATTGGAACGACAAGCTGCTTTGCTGTGAGGAAAAATTTTTTCTCAACAAAGAAAAGAGGTCGATGCCTTTGGTCTGCGATTCGTGAGACTAAAGTATGATAGAGGTAAGCCTAGAACCCAGGTGTCCTCCATGCTAGCCTGGAGATTTTTATCCATTTTTGCTCTGATAAGCAGCGAGAGAGTACCCAGCTCCTTTACAGAGAGGATTCCCAAAAGAGGGATCTTATCCTCGATTGCTAGGACAAGAACATCTCAGCTTTTCAGATGTGGTAGTTACAAGGCTGACATAAGCCAGAAGTTTTGAGGAGAACTCAGAGAACTTTTTTTAATTAATCTCTCTGTCTCTCTCTCTCTCTTTCTGTCTCTCTCTCTCTCTTTCCCTCCCTCCCCATTATTATCACATATGCCAATTGCAGATAATAGCACCTCTCTGTCCAAATGTTCAGGGTTTTCAGGACAGTAAAAACAAAATGGATTTCCAAAAATAAGGAAATGACATGCTTACAGCTAAATCTCACAATTCTACTCCAAATAATAGCCTGGTTTGAGCTTCTTGTCTGAGAAAAATTAAAAAATAACACCCACCAAAAAAATGAATAGGTAAAATAAATGTTTACTTGTTTCTAAATGCTATATAATGTCGCTCTAAAAATAAAACATTTGGAGATAAATCTAAGGAGAACCCAAGAAGATATTTATGCTAAAACAGAGTTAAATGTTAGTAAAAGAAACAAAGAGGTAACATGAAAGAAATTTCCACTCCAAAGAAAAAAAAATTCAAAATCAACATTGCTCTCATGTTTGAAGTTCAAGCAGGGCAGTTGCTTTGAATACTGGTCAGGCCTACAAGGCTGGGAGACTGGAGCAGAGGCAGCTCTGATGAAGTCCAGATGCAGCAGCAGGGGGCGCAGGTGGCTCACCTGCCCTGGGCTGACTGGCACCTGAACCAAGAAGTGAACCAGAGGCCAGGCCCAGGAGATGTTAGAGGGGAACAGCAGGCAGGGCCAACTCACCCCACATGAGGAGAAGGAAGAGCCCTTATACTTATTACCTAGCTAATTCTTCAGGCTGTGGGTGCAAGAAGGGGAATAGGAAATGGGCTAGAAGGCAGAGCAGTTGGCAACCCACACACAGCAGTGGGCCTATCCTGTCCTGCCACCCTTATAGACATGACTTGATGTTGGCCCAGGAGCTCAATGCCAAATTCAAAGGATGTCATTCCTGGGCCTGTACTTGCTGGGAGGTTTTACCCTGTTCCCTCCTCTGCATGCTGACCCACTCTCACATTTACTCAGATCGTGGAAGAGCTTCATGAGCCCGTGGAGTTGCTCTGTAAATGCTGGTTTCAGTGGCGACCAATATGTTCACTTTCATTCACTCGGGATAACTGATCTCACTGGGACATCAGTGTTCTCAATCCTCACTCAGTTCCCAGTGTGGTCCCTGGATCTGTGTGCCCACCTGGGCATCCCCTGGGCTTGTTAGAATTGCAGATATCAGGACCCACTGGACTTGCAGAATCCGGAATTTGCATCTTAACTGGACCCCCAGGGATGAGGGCACACCAAATTTTCTAGAACTCATACATAACAAAAGCCCCAACCACAGCAGAGCAAAACCAAAGCAAATAATGGGGAGAAAGAAAAATACAAATGGCCAAGCTAGCCCTCGGGGAAACAGGATACCACAGAACGAAACCAAAAACAAAGGAAAAAGAATGAAGAAACACTTTGAGAATTGTCTGACACTCTGAGGAAAGGAAATATAAGAATCATAAAAACCTCAGAAGGAGAAGAGAGAGAGAAGGGAACTGAGAATCTATTTAAGGAAACAGTAGAGGAGAACTTCCCAAACTGGAAGGAAATGAACATAAAAATTCAAGAAGTAAAAGGAATATTTAGATACCTAGATGAAAAGGAAACTATAGCAAGACACATAATAGTAAAACTCCCAAGAGTCCAAGTCAAAGAAAAACTGTAGAAGATGACAAGGTGGAAGAAATAAATAAACTATGACTTACTAAACTAACATCAGATCTCTCTAAAGAGACATTAAGGGTAAGAAGGGAATGGAATGACATACCCAAAATACTCCAAGAAAAAAAGGACCAACCGAAAGCACTCTATCCTGCAAGGCTCTCCTCCTTGTATAATAGAATGATAAAGACCATCCCAGCTAAAGAAAATCTTAGTGAGTTTGCATCCACTAAAACTCCCCTTCAAAGAGATATTAAAAGAAGCCTTAGGATCTAAATCAAAGAGAAGAACACAGACAAAGAATTGAATAAGGAATTAAATAGAACCACAAATCTAGGAACAAAACAGCAGTGAGGGACATTTACATGTCAATAATTGCTCTAAACATAAATGGTCTGAACTCACCAACAAAAAGACACAGAGTATATAGCTGGATTTGGAAACAGAATCCAACCTTTTGCTGCCTCCAAGAAACACACTTTAGCACCCAGAATAAACACAGCCAGAAGCTTGGTTGAAAGGGATTTCCCCAAGTCTGCACCACACTGAACTAAAAGTATCAATGTTTCCATGTATCCGCTGGGGGGCCTTGAATAAAACACATCATCTCCTCGACCCCTTAAGTCCTCATCTCTAAAATGGGGATGCTAGCACTGTTTACAATAGCTAAGCTTTGGAAACAACCCAAATGCCCAAAAATAGATGACTGGATCAAGAAGATGTGGTCCATATACACCATGGAATATTACTCAGCATTCAAAAAAGATAAACACATGCAATTTGCAGCAACATGGATGGCGCTGGAAGGGATCATGCTCAGCGAAATAAGCCAGAAAGAAAAAGAAAAATACCGGATGGTCTCACTCATAGCAGGAATCTAGAAAACTTAAATAAGGGACCAGGAAAATGAATAACTATAAGAAAGTGAAAATCAAAATCAACAAACAACTATGAACCAGAGACACTCTATGGGGGGTGGGGGGCGGTGAGGGAATGGATTGGGGTCAAAATAAGGGGGTTGCAATTGTATGGGGAATATAAAAATAAAATTTATTTAAAAATAAATAAATAAAATAGGTTAAATAATGGGAAAAAAATAAAAATAAAATAAAATGGGGATGCTAATCCTACTTGGGATGATGAAATTAAATGATAAATTAGACTTTGCCCTGTCAATTGTGAATCATGACTGGAATATTCAATTTTATTCTTATACTGCATCCTGACTCAATAATTGTTTTATAAACAACTGAGAACAGGCACAATCTCTCCTCTATCTCTTTAGTTTCCCGTATACCAGGTAACGCATTCTGCCCAGAAGGAGGCTGACTATTTGACATTTACAAAAATCAACCTTGTCTGGAACTGCTGATCAATCCCTGCCATGCCATCCCCTGAAAAAAAACTCTAATTTCAAATCCTGAATCAAGCACAAAGAGCTCCTGTCACTTTGACCTAATCCTCTGAGGTTCATCCCTCTAAATAATTGTATTGTCTCTATCTGTAAAGCACTTTGTTACTATGGTGACACACACATAATTACGTGTGTAAGTGATTGAGAGTGGCTCTCCCAGCCAGCCAGCCACCTTCCAATCAGACAACACAGAAAACACTGCCCTTCCTCGTGGGACGCCCCTGTAGGTTTATATCAAGTCCCCACACATTTCTGGAACTTACATATATTTTATAAACACTAGAAACCAACATAAACCAACTTGCTGGTTAAACTGGGGGAGGAACTTGGCGATCTGGGATCCAGTTGAGAGCCTACACTAACAGGCAATTTAACCCAGCACAAGACTCTTTTCAGGACCAACCCCCCTATTTAAAGTGAAATGAGGAACAGCAGGTTTTCCAACAACTTAATGCCCCCAACATCCTGTGGCATTCTTAGCTGATTTCCAGTGTCACTTAAGTGAAGTGATTTGGCCAACCTCTCCAGTATTAACCATTAACACGGCCCTTTTTTATATGGCACGGTTCATTATCATGCCAATAAATGATTAATTACAACTCTCTGTCTGGACCAATAATTTGACAGGGCGTTGATGATTCATATTTGTGCTGTGTTGTAATGCCCCTCTCGAAACTGACATACGAGCATTTATTGTTTTTTATGGCCACTTGGAGATGACTTTTGAAAGAGACACATGTTTAGGAAGCCTTTAAAAGTTCACCTGTGCTGGAGCAGGCTCTATTCTCCAGCAGGAGGGGTGGACTGGTGCCTCCTGAACTGGTGTGACCTGCCCAAGCAGCAGAGCCAGCAATGAATAATTCCATGGCCTGTGCGCCCGAAGCCACCGTGTGCAACGGTACATCCTGCGTGCTACCTGACAGCAACTTCAATGCCATTCTCAGCACGGTCCTGAGCACCGTGCTCACCATCCTGCTGGCCCTGGTCATGTTCTCCATGGGATGCAACGTGGACATCTGGAGGTTCCTCTGGCACATAAAGCGGCCGTGGGGCATCTGTGTGGGCTTCCTCTGTCAGTTCGGAATCATGCCCCTCACGGGATTCATCCTGTCAGTGGCCTTTGGCATCCTCCCAGTCCAAGCCGTGGTGGTGCTCATCATGGGATGCTGTCCCGGAGGAACGTCCTCCAACATCTTGGCCTATTGGGTCGATGGTGACATGGACTTGAGGTAAGAGACCCAGCCCTCCTAGCCTCGCTGTACAATAACTTAGTCATTGGAACTTGAGCTGATCATTCCTGTTGGGGTGTTTTCATCTCACTCAGTTAACAGGGAGTTGGATAATTGCTCAAAGATAATGTTGAGAAGAGGTTCAAAGTTTTTTGCCAAAAAGAAAATCTTTCCAAGCCTTAAGATGCAGCTGAGAAAGTTTTCCTTCTGGTATTAGAAAAGAAGGGAGACAAGGAAACCTCAGTGGTACACAGGAACTCTGAACACAATTGCTATTTATCTAATTGCTCATTAAACACTAGGCCCTTTGAAACACCATGGCCAGCTCCACCAAATCCACCCAGTTCTCCAGACAAGCTTTTCTTGGTGTAAAACCTAAGAAAGAACTTGTATATTTGCTTCACTTCTACTGACATTGAAAGAAAAACAAAATTTTTTTTTAAATTATGCTTACCTTACTGTAAAATCAACAGAAAATGGTTTCTGTGCTTCCCACAGAGTAAACTAAATTGCTGTGTTTGCCCAATTCATCTCGTGCCGGTCTGAACTAGCTCTGGGGGAGAAAAGCTAATAGAAATAAGATGTAGCATTAATGTGACGAACCCAGAATGTTAATGACAAGAGTTGAATGGAGCAATGCCTCTTTCCCTACCTCCCCATCTCTCATTTGCCGGGAAGGGTGTGCATTTCTCCAACCAGCCAGGTGCTAATGGAGCCTGTGCCTATTAAAAGCGGTGCAGTAGGCAACCATCTCTGCTCAATCAGCAACTATCCACAGAAGAGAGACGCACAAAGTGTAGAAATGTAAACCCTGCAAGATCTGAACCAGTCTCCAGGCTGACTTAGTGCCTGGGGAGCAGCTGTGAGCTGGTCTCTGCTGGTGCCACTTGCTCCAGAAGGCAGAGAAACCCCAGACAAATGATACCCTTCCACTGAGGTCATACGGTATCTTCCTTGTGATAGATTTTGTTCCCAAGGAAAGTTCTGGAAGGAACAAAGGATGGCACCTGCTGTCCAGATTTAGCTCACCTGTGAAGCACTGTGCAGTCATCAGGTCTTTAGGGACGCCGACTAGTGTGACCTGCACATGGGCATGGTGTGCGGGCGGCTCCTAAATGTTGGCTAAGCCAAGAGCAAGAACTAAATTGTTGATGGGGCTTTGACATCCACTAGGCAGCTTTTCCATAGTTTCTGTAACTTTTCACAAACCAGAAGTCTTGTACCTCCACGTAATACAGAGGTGTCATTATTTCGTAAGACAGAAAGGTGTGTGTCCTGCTGTCTTGTTTAACTGCAGAAACATCCCCTTCTCTGGGCTGTAACTGTAAAAATCTATTCTAAAAGCTCCAAATTTCACTTTTTTGTGATTTTTCAGAAAATCTTTTTTCTCTTGAAACTGAAAGTGATTAAGTAATCCTGTCTACTTCATATAACAATTCCTATAAAAAAAAATCAAAAAATATGCTAAGCATATTTGCCATATAGAAATGTTTAATATATTGAGGGTCCTGCAAAAATAAAGAAGACACAGAAGTAGAATTTGAAACCTCAGGGGCAAATATCCAGAGGAATCAGTATCTATGCGTCCTCCTGCAAGTGAGAGCAAACTCTGTAACAGGCCTCGAAATTTTTAATTCTCATCTTAGGAAAAGCCCACTGTCCAGACCCTCTTTGTCTGGTGGCTACTGCCAATGTTGCTCCAGTGCAGAATCCACTCTAGCAATGCCACGTCTCCAGAATGCAAACAAGACCTAAGAAAGACATGGCGCCCCCAAGATAGCCCCCACTTTATCTCATAAACGCTTCTCACATAGGAACTACTTACCCTCTTACTTCTAAAGCTCTGTGGGACTATTTCCCAACACAAAGGATGAGAAACAAGAAGTAGGGGAAGCGTGTTGGAAGTGCATACCGCACATCCCACAGCAGCAAATGTCCCCCAAAAACCTGACTCGGGAAAAAAGACAGGATTCCTCGACGCAGCACATAGAGCCCAGTGCTTATTCTCAGGGCCAAGAGCTCTCTGAATACAACAGTCAGCAGAAGACATCACTGTGTGTAGCAAATAACTGTGTTTATCCAATGACCCGGGAGCACAAGAAAGAGTTTGAAGTGTGTTCAGCACCATGAGGACATGACCCATCACCTATGTTAGAGGAAATTCTTCAAATATGTCTTGAAAACAAATAAAGAGTAACACCTTAGCTATTGGGAAACGGATTTCCAACACTTCCAATTCTTCTGGACTGGGCACTGCATTAGCAAAATCTCATAGTCATTTATTTAGAAGGGATCCTCCCTCCCATGTGTAGTCGGATTCTGTACTCTTGAGACTTTGCCTTGTCCTTTTCCACTTGAGCTCTAACAATCACAGTCAAGGTGTGATGACTAGTTTCAGAGCCTCTGCAGGCTAACAAGTCATGCCAAGGAGTCCCCCTCAGACACCACCTGAAACACCTACAGATTGGGGGGAACTTCTCTCTGTCAGTGCCTGTGAGGTCCTGAGATTCCTGGGTCTGCTGGGAAATGGCAGATCTCACTCCCCTGGTCAGGTTGCCTGCCGGGACCCTGCCAGCAAGACACCAGACTGGTTTTTCAGGAGCTTTGATTGGCTCCAAAAAGTCAACATCAGTTCCTGATTTTATGCATATTCTCAAATATGACATTACAGTCAAGCCACAGGAACGCAACCAGTGTTTCCTGTTGTGTCTTGTCATCAGGAGGACGAATTCTTACTGAACTTATACATATAACTATAGGAACATAAAAAATTGATATGGTCAATTATACCAACAGGTGTCTATGCTAGTTAGGTGGGTACTGCTCAATGCAACCAACGCAACTCCTCCTGGCTTACCTTTCCAGGATGAGGTTCCTAGGAGAAGAAAGAAATCCCCCCTCAGCCTATCACTCCTTCTGCATACAATAGCAATGTTTGGTGACTTAGAAAAATAATGATGATGCACAAAATAACAGCCCTCATTCAGCATCAGAGAGGAGCGTAGAAATACAGCTCCCCTCTGAACACCCCAGTTTAGATAGCTGATGGGCACATGGGTATTTTTGCCTACGTCGTCCTGTGCATGGGCACCGTAGACACAAAATGTTTCAGGGAAAGATGAAAAAGAAGATTGTTTCCAGTGGACACACTGGGGTCGGTGTCCACAGCCCGGGGGTCACACAGCCACCTGTGACCCTGTTTCTGCCCCATCCCGGACAGCCCCCAGTTCTAAATCTCACCTCTCTTAGCAAGAGGCCCAGTGCAGCATGCAAGAAGTTTTTCTTCTCTGATCCTTTGCTTGACTTCTTTGGGAATCCTGGCCCCTGCACCCTGTCCTCAGCACCCCTCCGACTCCTCCACTGCACACATTTCAACGTTCCTTTTGACAGTTTTCTACATTTTAGACTTTCCCAATTTTCCCACCGTATCCTTTGTTCTTTGGCCAATTATAGTTGCATTTTTCACCTTCCGGTTTAGCGTTCACTTATTTTAGTTGTTCAACATCCGTGACCCAGTGACTTGTTGCAAATTCCAAGCAATCCCTCATTTCAGCCACATCCACAACTCAACACTACTTGTCTTTTGTTTTCCCTCAAAGGAACCAAGTTTGTGTCTCTCAAACAGTTTTTGTTTTATCTTACTACCTAATGTTCATGAGAGGTGACTAAGTGTCCTAGACAGCAGACGAACTCTGCGTGCATTTTAACCCTCAAATAATCCTCTGCAATCAGCATTATTATTTTCTGCATTTGCCAGACGATAAGATTAAGTCTCCTGTTCCTAATCATGGTCATAGGGTCAAAACATATCAGAGTCAGAATTTGAATCCAGACTCACCCACTTACCCTTGCTCAGACTTTTATCCCTTTCTTGACGCTCTTTCTCACTCATCAATTCTCCACCGGGTAGCACCAGCTCATCCGCCTCCTCTGGTCTTTCAAACTTGGTGCTTCACATCTGATGTGACTGCCATCTTTGCGTTCCTTACCATGGACTTGGCCCAAATTCTCCGCATGTATTGAATTCGAGGCTGCATGCTGTTCTTTCTTTCATTTCCATTGTTGACATCTAGGCTCTTTATAAAATTCCAGGTTTTTTCATATAAAATGATCTCTTCCTTTGCCTAATATATTCTCCTCTATTGTTTCTTGAAATGATTACTCTGTGAATTGCCTTTCCTCTTGTTTTGAGTGGTTCGAGGCGCCTCTCATCTTAGCCCCCATGACATGGCTTCTAGCCACCCGCTCTCCTGCCCGCTGCAGCACTGCCGCCAAGCCAGGTCCTGCTCTTATCCTACCTGCCCCTCCTTGAGGTCCCTATGAAACTGCTCTTGCCAAACTCAAAACCATGGTACACCTTCATCAATTGTCTTCAAGATATTTCAAAATTTAAGTTTTCACAAAGGGATTTGAAAGAAAATACAAGGGCAGACTCCTAAAAGTTGTTCTTGGGGTTGAAAACAAAAAATACTCAATCTTTCCAAGCCTTTGCTTTGCCATGACCCAAGTAATGGACACTGCCACCCTCGCCACCCCCCACCCCCGGAATGACAGCTGCCCCTCCCCCCATCTGTAGACAGCATAGCAGATGCACTGGGAGGGGATTATGGGCACAATTGAAGCCCGTTCTAGTTTGTTTAAAAAATGAAAAAGGTCAACAGCATAGAAAGTGAGGAAGGGACAGAGGGATAATCACTGACAAACTCCAATTCTTTAATTATTAGTAGGACAAAGCACTATTTGTAACAAATTAACTCCCTGTTCTGGTGCAGGGCTCTGTGCTGACACCCTAGCTCTCCAGTTAACTTGCCGCCGTCACGGGCCAACGTCTCAGAAACATCTGACACCCATTTCCCACCTTGGTGCTGACACACGAGTCTAGCTCTGCTAAGACAAGTGGGTTTTTTCTAAATCCCTTAAACACATTTTAAGTGAGGTCATTCCTGGTTTTTTAAAAAATGATTATTAGGGACCTCCGCACCCCTGATGAACACTGTCCTCACTTTTTATTTTGCTGAACTGTACTTAGATCCATTGAAACAAAATTCCTCAGGTCCAGATGCTTTCCTTAGCTTGTGCAAAGTGTGCTTTTGTTTGGAGGGTAGCAAAGGGTGTAAATAATTGAGCACTTTCGTCAAGTCTGCATTTAATACCTTTAAGACATTACTGCTTTGATAAGTCTCCATGCCGCAGCCACTAGAGAAGGAGCCTTTTAGAGAAATTGCTCTTAGTTTCCTACATTATGCTGAGGGAACACACACTCCCCCCATACCATAGACCCCTCACCATAGACCCCTCACCACACTCACATAGACACATACACCCCACACCCCACACACACACCTCATACAAAGAACATGCACACACTCACATAGACACACACCACACACTGTGCCTGGATAGATAATGAGACAACTAGCTGCGTGAGCGCCTAGCCTTAGTCTCCTGCCAGCCTCACTGGCTCACTAAGTCTTCAAGCCCAGAGGAGGCCACCATTGCAATGGCCACTCTCCGGATACGGAAACTGGCTAAGAGAAGTGAGGTGAGCACCCAGGGTCCCCCCCTAAGGGGGCCTGGCTGGAGAGCCCGGCCAGGCAGGAGCCACTGTGATCCATGCAGACTCCAGGCCGCTCCCTGGCAGGCGCACCCCCCTAACTGGGGAGCTCAGACACCTCCTCCCTGCTTGGCCCTCTTTACCATCAGTCGCTTCGTTCCTCAAGCTCCAGCATTGGGCGCTACTCGCCTGCTTTAAGGAAAGACAGGAGGCCTCCTGCCCGCGCACTGTGTCCCCACGGGGCTGAGGACCCCACTTGTCCCAACATGACCTGACCATGGTGAAGGCTCCCAGGGGCTGGCTGGGGTCACCGAGTTTGCTGTGATTTGCTGGGAGGTCCCAAGGGTGGCGCACCCAAGCCGCTTGTCTGATCACGAGTATAGACAGTCACAAAATACTCCATCTGACCCGCTGGGTGCTGCGCAGTGTGGGCAGTGGGCACCGCTGTCCATCAGGCCTGAAGGTGCTGGTGGTGGAGTCCTTCAGTTCAGTCATGAATTGAAAATGAAAGATGCTCCCACAGAAAACCAGGGGGACCTCTCACCCTGCTCTTCCCTTCCAGCGTCAGCATGACCACCTGCTCCACGCTGCTGGCCTTGGGCATGATGCCGCTGTGTCTCTTCATCTACACCAAGATGTGGGCCGACGCAGGGACCATCGTGATTCCCTACACCAACATCGGTGAGTCCTTCCCCGCCGCCCCCCAGGAGACTCCAGAACGCATCTCCTGTGCCCGGGCGCTTCCACAAGTCTGCAACCAGGCCTGGCAGGATCGAAATTCCAAACCTGACCCCATGGGAGGACCCGCGTTATCCCCCACAGAAATGAGCAGGGAGGGGGGCCCGTTTCAGCAGAGCCCCATCCCCACCCCATGCAGCGGGCGGGTCCTGAGGAGGCAACATCACAGCCCCGCAAGGTTCTGTCCTTAACCCGAGTTCCTGGGACCAGGCGTCTGTTCCCGGCATGCAGCAGACAGAGAACGGGCCACTGGTGACTTCACAGCAGAACCTCCCTTTAGCCAGCCCGCTGCAGCCCCAGGGAGGCACTGGAGGGATCACACACTTGGTCACCTACGACCACCCGTCACATCTGGTCCCTCACGGTCTCCCCCATCCCAAAGTTCCTTTGTCTGTTTCTGGAAAAACAGAAGATGGTGGGGGATGAAACTGTCAGCAATGTCAGGGGGGAAACGAGGCAGTGCTGGCCGACCCAGCCAGGCCTTCGCCGTGGAAGAGCAGACGGAGGTGAAACGACACATCAGTGCCCATCACCAGACACGTCCCGTGCTAAATGGGCTTCTTCAGCTGACACCCCAGTCTCCCTGGTCTCCCTGGTCAGCTCCCCAAGGGCACGTGGGTTTCGTGGCGAAGGGAACATGTAGGAGGAGGCGAAACGATGATTCAGAGAAAGTTTATAAGGGGATCCCTGCCAGGATGGAGGCCGAGCTGGATGGCATCTAAAATCCCTTCTGCTTCTGAGAGTTTCTGCGATAAGATGTGCCTCAGATCTACACAACTGAATTAGGACCCACTTTCTTTCAGGACACTAGTTGAGGACAATCTGTATGGCTCTATTTCCAGGGAGTCGCTTCTCTCTTCTGTTCCAACATAGCCATTAGACAAAAAAAAAAAAATCCAAAGAGTCTCTTGACACACCCGTTCAATATGGGATTTTCCTGCACAAGGTCACCTCGCTGGCCCTGGGGAACTCCTTCACATGAGACATAATCTCCTGCAAACAAGTGTTAGGTGACTTTCCACAACCACCTGCCTATCCCTCAAGCTACTTAACTCTCATTCCGCTCCCTCCTAGGACTCTGTCCTGAGAAGTAAGGAATGCACTTAGCTCGAGTGCCATCCACGGTAGCCTCTCAAAGGGTCCACCAGCTGAATAATTTTCATCCTACATCACTCACTGTTTTAGAGAAACATTTAAGCCTGAAACTATTGTTTTCTTGCTAGTCATTTCTTTCTGGAAAGGGCCCTATGGTGAAATGCAGTAATTCTAACTATGATGAGAATGACTTATATCACAGATTTTTAATGTGAATAAATTTTGAAAGGAAGAGAAAGTAAGAGAGAGTACTCAGCCCTTCACTGGAGGGAAAGGTCATCAGTAAAGAGGTAAAATGAAAAAAAAAGAAAAAGAAAAAAAGAAAAGAAGATATGAGGAAAATATAGAAAAACTTTAAATGGGAATTTGAGAAATAGGTTTTTCCAGACCTATTTGCTACTATAATCATCTCACGACTGGACTTTCTAGTGCTTTAGTGCAGAAAAAATAAAGGACCTGATTGCTTCACCAGCTGTGATCACCACTTTTTAAATGAGGAAATTAAGGGGCAGGATAACTGTTTAAATTGTCCAAGATGACCAGGGATCAGGAAATACCCTCCTGAGCTGCTCTCTGCTCTGCTCTGTGGGACGCAGCAGGTGCAATCATGTTCTGCTGGTTCAATAACCATCCCCTGCACCCCCAGGGTGGTGACACCTGGAGGAGGAGTAGGAGGAGGTGCCTGCAGGGCAGGTACCACTAGGGAAACACTAACACTGTCCTTCCTGCTCCTCTGAAACCTGCATTTGAGAGCAGCCGGTAGCGCCAACTGTGTGTCCACTGAGTGTCACAAATACACTGCAGGGCAGACGTCATCCTGCCCACCCACTTCAAAAACTGGAAGCCAGACTTGGGGAACTCAGTGTGCTCCCCAACCCTCCAGTTGTGACTAAAGTCCAATCCGAGCCCATCTGCTCCCAGCCTTGCATGACCCCATGCTCCACTCCCCTCTGCTCTCTGATTTCTGTCTACCTGTCTCTCCTTCTCTACTTCCTTAAACTGGGTTAAAGATCAAGTTGTGGTTCAAAAGCAGACACCTTTTCATCTAATCAGATATTTGACACAGAGAGTGCAGGCTAAGGAGTGAGTGATAAGGAAAAAGCAGAGCCTGGAGGAAGGCAGAGGAGCTCCCAACCCACTGGGGAGTAGAGTCACATGAACCCACCTCTTCAGGCCAGAGTCACACACTGAGTGGAAAGAAAGCAAAGATGTCTTTCCAGTCAGCTTCAAGCCTGGGGACAGCTTCATCTGGTCTCACTTGGGCAGGAGAGGAATTGCAGTTCAGCCATGGATTTGGGCAAGTCGTCCTGCGTGAGTGTTTGTCCTGCTGCCTTGGGCTGGCCAAAGAGACAGAAACTCTTAACAAGAGGGCCCAACAGGGGAGGTGCACTCTTCACAATTCAAGACATTAAAAACCTGTAACAAAACCTAGCCGCGCTCACATTCCAAGCACAGCCTTTGGGCCTGGGATTAAGTTACCGCGGGATAATCAATTTGTGTTGAGATGGGCTTCATCTAAGACCTCCCCAGGTCACACAATTTAGGAAATCATCTGGGACCGAGGAGAGATCCCAGAGGTCCCCCCAAAGTAGCAGGATAGAAGGACACCCAGAAGGGATTTTTCTGGGTGTGCTTTTCAGCACCTCCATCAAAGGCTTTTTTCTATACCCACTGTTGGCCAAGTTTCCTTATCTCTGCCCCTCCCTATCTGTTTATTTGTATTCATTCTTGGTATCCTGAGGCATTAGTTAATCCCTTTGAGTAATTTCTTGGGGAAAAAAAAGTAATTGCTGAATCTTATATCACTGAGAGGCTACAAAGAAGTTATGTTTTTGTCACTGTTATATTCATTTCAAAGTCATATTTACCATCCTGGTATCTAGACTCCACCTTTCAGTCCTACTTCAATCTAATCCACATCAGAATTTCCATTACCCAAGTCTACTTTCTCCTACTGCTTTAAAAGGCTGTTTGAAGGGGGGCAGAATAGCCCATGAGAAGCTAGAAGTTATTGGTGCTATATCTTACAAAAACAGCTATTGGACAAATCAGCATTAAATAATGCGGAGAAACAAACCACATATTCCAAGAACAGCAGTAAATTTAACACACGGTGATATTAAAATATGACTCTTTTATCTGCTTGGGTGAGCACGTTCCTGCAAAGAATTATAATTACTTGAGAGGTTGCCAAATATATTATCTTACAGAAAATGGGAAGCATGCTTTTTGACCTATTCTCTCACCTCTCTGTTGTAGATTTGAATAACTGAAGTCACTCTTCACCAAAACTCATTGGTCTCCGGAATGCCTGGGGAATTTGGACTTTTTCTTTTATTCTTACTGTTACAGGGCAAACCCCCATATAAAACGGGGTTGCCTGACTGTGGGTGCTCACCCACACGCTTAAAGGGGACTTACGGATGCTAAACTGCAGACACACACAAAAGGTTGATAAAAGATTAATTTACAAGGGAAGGGGAAAATGGGGAAATGAATAATTCAGGGAGAAAAAGAGGGAGAGAAATTAACCCCCCGGCCACATGGCCAGTTAAATACCCAAACAGAGAGCCTAGTTGCTTAACGCCACCCTCAAGTCCTTCCAACCTTCCCTTTGGTGATCATGGGATTTGTAGTTGCCAGTGTCGTGGGGGTGGAGTCCACAAAGCCTGTATGGAGTTTGCTCAGGACATCCTTACCCCTATCATCACTACCAGGACATAAAAGACAGATATTAAATATCTATGCACCACAAGAACACATACACACATACAAGCTTTGAAAATGCATTTTTCCTAGGAGATAAGGATCCAAACAACAAATAAACCAAGATTCTGACAAATAAAAAGACAGCTGATTGGCACTATAAGGAATTCTAAGAAAATTACCCTGGATTCAGGGAAAGGAATTGTATCGTCAAGGTTATCAGTTCTCAAGAATATCCTCCAGGGCCTCCCCGGTGGCGCAGCGGTTGAGCAATGGGTTGCAAAGCTGCCCGCGGCCTCTGCAGCGCCAGTTCGATCCCCGGCTGCTCCCCGGCCACCCGAGGAGGGTCCCACATGGCGCGCAGACCTCTCCTGCCGCCCGCTGCTCCCCTCAGCAGTGGACTTCGGTCCTTCTGCCTGCTCTGCTCCCCGCTCTGGCTCTGGGGAATTCTCTCACCCTCCCGTGCTTCTGACTGTACCCAGTGCTTGTATAAATAAATAAAAATAAATAAATCTCTAAAAAAAAAAAAGGAAAATCAAATCTCTAAAAAAAAAAAAAAAGAATATCCTCCAGTGATATTAAACTATTTACTAGTGAGAGTAAATAAGTAGAGTAGTTCAAGGTTTGGGGGTTGGTTTTGGTTTTTGTTTTTTTTTTTTAACCTCTCTTGTGTTTTCAAAGGGAGAGTGAAGCATCAGCTGAGTCTGACTCAGGCTACTTGCTCCTGTTTTCCTCTCTCCTGTGCTGTGTGCTCTGTTGAACAAATGTTTTGTCATCTTCAGGGATATCTTTGGTGACTCTTGTGGTTCCTGTTTCCATTGGGATATTTGTTAACCACAAATGGCCCGAGAAAGCCAAGATCATACTTAAGGTAAGCATCTCCTGCTCTAGGCATCACAGGCCAGAGGCCCAGGGCGGGAACTGAGTTACGGGCTCTTCCCTCCCACTTGATTGCTTCTCATTGTCTTATGACCCCCTCCGAGGGGGCTTGATGTTACCCCACACACATCCTCTCTTCCAGAGCACCCTGCCTTGCCCCAGCCATGGGCAAATTCCTATCTACCCTTTGAGATACCCAGTCCAAGCATCACTTCTCGATTTTTCTCTACTCCGTCTTCCCGTAGCCCTTTGCTCTTATTTCTGCTATGTGGGTTTGTAGTAAAAAATATATTTAGACAGCCTTCTCAGAAGATAAGTCATGTCTTTCTTATCTCTGTATCCATGTTGCCTGTGACAATTGGTTGAATACATATACATGTGTGTATATATAATACACATAATTGTTATGAATAATATATTATATGTTATATAGAATTATATATTATAATAAATTATGTTATATAGAATTATATAGTATATATAATATAATTATTACCATTATAGCTAGAAGATGTGGCTATGAATATATAATATGTATTATTTATATGTAATATAGTATATAGAAATGTATTTATAGGTATATACACATACAGAGAGAGAGCTGTAGAGAGGGATAGAGAGAGGTGGACCTATTTCACTGTTGAGGAGGCAAAATAAGCTGTTTGACATTTTTGTTTCACTGGATGAAAAAAAATGTATAATCTCCAATTTTTTTAATTTGAAAAGGCAATAGCAATGGTGGCTTTGGTTTCCATATGCCGTTTTAAATTTTTGGGAGTTTTACATACATTTGCCTGTTACTCTAACAGCCATAAAACATGACTATGGCAGGATGTGAGTCCCATGTGGGATGCAGGATCTAAGGTTGCCGAGGTTCGCGCTTGGCCAAAGGCAGGGGTGGGGGTGGCAAATCAGGAGACTGGCTTATGTGCAGTTTGCTTTCCCTGCTGTCCTCGGCCCCAGGACCGGGTGCAAGCTGGCGCACCTGCTCTCCCAGCAGGATCCCAATATGCCCCGCTGCTGCCTCAAAAATTAAAAGGCAGGGCCAGCCCGAGGGCGCAGAGGAAACCAACGCTCGCCTCCCAGAGGAAAGGGTTTGCTGGGTGTCTGCTCTGTGAGCATCAGGGGACTGGCTTGACACGCGGTTCTCGGGTCTTGTTCCATGCAGGTGGGCTCCGTCGTGGGCGCCATCCTGATCGTGCTCATCGCGGTGGTCGGCGGGGTCCTGTACCAGAGCGCCTGGATCATCGAGCCCAAGCTCTGGATCATAGGAACCCTCTTCCCCATGGCTGGCTACTCCCTGGGGTTCTTTCTGGCTAGAATAGCTGGCCAGCCCTGGCACAGGTAGGGTGTTTCAGAAAATGGAACTGGGGCTTTTCTTCTGTTATAGCTGGGGTGGTCACTCTCTGGGAGGGCTGTGGGGAAACACCCAGGCAGGATGACCTGAAAATGGAGAAGCAGCGTCTCAGCATTCTGGAGGCCAGAAGTCTGGTGTGCCTGCAGGATGGCATGCGGGAGGGAGGCCTAGTCTGCCCAGCCTCTCCCTGGGCTCATAGATGGCCATTTTCTCCCTATTTCCTGGCACATCGCCAGGAAGTCTGTGTCAAAACTCCACCTTTTTATAAGGACACCTGTCATATAGGATTAAGGTCCACCCTCATCATCTTGTCTTAACCAATTACATCTACAGTGATGCCTTTTCCAAATAAGGTCACACTCAAGTGTCCCCAGGACACCTGCCCCTTCTGTTCACATTCTCCTGGACATCCTTCCACTACCACGTGTCCTTATTGTCCGAGCAGAGTGACCTTGACTCGAGACCTGGACGGGCCTTGTGCACGCCAAGGTTCCAAGGCCCGCGGTTGGGTGAGCTCATCCCCCAAAGGCACTGAATATTAAAACTGGGTTGGCATCCATGGGTTTGGTGCTGTGGATTTTGGTGCCAATTCTCACTCATCCATCTGAGTCACAGCCAGAGAGAGAAGTGTGTGTGTGTGTGTGTGTGAGTTTGAGAAAGAGGGGTGCAGTGCTGGGCAGTGAAAGGCAGAGTGGCCCCCACCCCGAAGGCAGCTGCCTGGACTGCACCCACCTCCCATCTACCAGCTGCAGGCCGGGCCACTCCTGCACTTTCAGTGACTTTGTCATCTGCAGGAAAGGGCTGTCACTGCATGCACATTTTTGGTAAAGACTGAATCGGAAAAACAAAGCCAATTTAAAAAATGAAACAGCCATCACTATGCCCTCTCCTGAGTCCTCTCTCACCCCCTGCACTGTCTCCAGTCACTGTCACAATGAAAATAGAGAAGTAACGCTCCTTTGCCACTTAAGTGACACCAGCTAGGTGAACTCCTGCCTGCTTGGGTTTTTCTCTATTAGATCTGATTTCAATGTGTATATATTTATGCAATATATAATTGTAAACTTAATAATAACATAAATATGGCCAGTAGTAATTATGCATTACTTATTAGTATATTTTGTCATGTATTAAAAATATTAGTATATTTTGTGATATAAGTATGATATTTATACATACATATAGACTAGATGAGCTAGAGATATAGGCCACCACTCCAGGGCAAATTTAACTAGTTGATGTTCTTTCTTTTCTGGACCAAAAAAATATTATAATCTCCAAATTCTTTTTTTTTTTTTTAGATTTATTTATTTATTTATACAAGCACTGGGTACAGTCAGAAGCGCGGGAGGGTGAGAGAATTCACCAGAGCCAGAGCGGGGAGCAGAGCAGGCAGAAGGACCGAAGGACACTGCTGAGGGGAGCAGCAGGCGGCAGGAGAGGTCTGCGCGCCATGTGGGACCCTCCTCCGGTGGCCGGGGAGCAGCCGGGGATCGAACCGGCGCTGCAGAGTCTGCGGGCAGCTTCGCAACCCAGCGCTCAACCTCTGTGCCCCCGGGGAGGCCCTCCAAATTCTTTTTTAAAGTGAAAGGGAGAAAAAAGTCATGGCAGTGGCTATTGTTTGCCTATACCTTTTCCACCCGTTATATATCTCTATTCTCATTATCATAACAGTGATAAAAGTGACTGTGGTAATATTTAGATATGTAAAATATATAGATTATATATAATATAGATATTCATTCACATATAATGCACTGCTTAGTAATATATTAATGTATTTCAATAGAAAAAGAACCATATTGAATAAATATATATGGAGAGCAGATACGGAGACAGTACATATGTGTAATCCTCAGTAGATCTGCTTTGGACGTTTCCTAAGCACAAAGCCCCACGATGAGCTGACCCCCAGGACTCTCCCCGCTCCCCTAGGTGCAGGACGGTGGCGCTGGAGACAGGCATGCAGAACACCCAGCTGTGCTCCACCATCGTGCAGCTGTCCTTCACGCCCGAGGAGCTCAACCTTGTGTTCACCTTCCCGCTCATCTACAGCATCTTCCAGCTGGCCTTCGCCGGGATATTCCTGGGAAGTAAGTCTCCGTGCTCACCCCCCTTCATCCCGACATTCACTCTGGACAGATCCTGATAAGGCCTTATTATTCCCTTATTCTTTTGCTTGTTTCACTTCTTCTGGCAGTAAATTATATAAATTAATCGCTTTCTCTGGCAATCAAATAAGTGGGTGGAAAATGCCACCCGTCGTATTCTCACAACTTCCCAGCTATGGTGAAAAGAAAGTAATTTTACCAAAACGTTCTAGTCAAGATTATTTTTAAGCAAAAACAATTGGAGACCAATTCTGTCCAGTGACTTTCTTTTCCTCGGTAATTAGGGAGGCACATTAACCTGGCAGGACCATTTCGTGGTGTGCCCCCAACGGGCTTCAGAAACTCTGGACTGGTCATTCTCTCAAAGCTTCATTTTGAGATGCTTTGTAAATATAGGATATTTATCAGAAAATGTGTACAGAGGCTGTTTATCAGGCGAAGTGATTGTAGAAGTCAGACGGGGGTGTGTGCCTGGAGTATGGGGGTACAGACCTAACTACATAGGCAATACCCACAGCGTTGGAACAGCTGACACCAACATGTGCTTTGCTTACAGTCCTAGACCTTGGCGTGGCTGAGCTGATTCCCTCATTACAGTCTCACTTAGTATATGGCTTGGAGCCACCAGCCCCTGCCACCTGTTAGCTTCCACCTACTTGCAACTTTTCTCTATATTTTGATCCCCAAAACTGATGATATTTAACCCCTATTTTTAATTTTTAATTTTTTAATACTCTTCCTTTTATAATCTTCATAGCACTGTCGAGGAGATGGGGGATGGTATAGGGAATACGAATGACAAAATCCATGTAAATCTATACCCGTAAGATGCCAGAGACTCCATTGGGTTTGGGTTTGGTTTTATTTTTTCACTGATCTCCGACCAGAACAGCCCCTCCGGCCCCCCAGGGGAGCAGTGAGTGGGGCAGGGAGAGCAGTGACCACACACCCCACCCCAGGGTCCTCGACTTGGCTCCTTAGCGTGTCTTGTCTTTGTCAAGGGTGCTACGGGGAGCTGGTAGGCAGGGCAGGAACGTCACGGGGTACCACCTGCAGGGCTGATACCTGTGGAAGTCAGGTTAGCTGGTGTCCCCTGGAGTTCTGTGCAGCTGTCCTGCTCAGCCACCAGTGAACAAGTAGCCTCCAGCTGACAGAAAAGGCAAACTGCTTTTTTTTTTTCCCCAAGATGAACTGAGCTGTAGGCCAGAGGTGCGGGGCAGGGAGGGGTGAGAGGATTCACCAGAGACAGTGGGGAGCAGAATGGGCGGGTCCACTGAAACACACTGCTGAGGGGAGCAGCGGGGAGACAGGAGAGGTCTGCTGTGCCATGTGGGTCACCTCCCAGGCTGGGGATTGAACTCATGCCACAGTGGCTGGAGACAGCTTGATAGGGCTGAGACTTTAACCCTTGTGCCACCAGGGAGGCCCAAGGCAAACTGCTTTTAAGCCATCAGTTAGAGTCATTGTTCAAAGTATGTTTACAATTTCTTGTTAAGCAACTTGCTTAACCGCCTGTGCATTGTTTTCTAGTGTATGCGGCATACAGGAAATGTTATCCGAGAAACAGAGTGGAGCTTCCAGAGAGCGAAGACGGTAAAGAGGCAGTGACCGATTCATCACGCTATCAGGTGAATGAAGGATTTCAAGCCGATGAGAGTGGACACTCAATGGACAAAGAAGAATCCTAAGGAATATACTTCAGCTATTCCAATATTGCATTCCTCGTTTTTGATGGGATATTTGGCCGGAAAAGTGAAAATTTTCATTTCGATGGAGGCCAGATGTTGGTTTTGGTATCAAGTAGCTGGCGGTTCCATTCTCTAACATCATGTATATTTAAATGTGTGTGTGTAAATATATATATATATATATGTACATATATATACTGCCTTTGAAATATGCCCCAAAAAATATGCCAAAAAAATCTGCAACTCTCAGAACCTGAAATAGGTACCACGGATAACCCCAGAGTTCCTGGACTGAATCTCACAACGCACCTGATGTTTTACTAAACTACATGACATGAGTTAATATTGTAAATTGATCAAGAGTTTCTCCAGTATTTATGATCATAAAGAAATTGAAGGTTTTCCCCTCCCATTTTAATTATTATTTTGAAAGTGTTGCAACTATTTATTTATATAATAAATTTGTTTTTGAAAACAACTTGCCTTTCTCCAGTGACAATCAAAAGCAAAAGTGAGAGAGAAGACCTACTAATATAATTCAAGAACCACAGTAGAATCCCACCCATAACTCACCGGAGATGCTGTGTGAGTGTGGCTTCGGCTCAGCAGTCCAGTGACGCCCACTAGATTTGGGGTGCAAACAGAGTTCTTTCACATGCCTTGAAATTGCCAAAGAACTCATGTCCTGAAGTGAGACTTCCTCAAGGTGTGTCTGGCTGAGGCGGGTTCACACCACCTAATAAGACAACTTTATGGTTCTTATGTATATGTGTGTGTGTGTGTGTGTGTGTGTGTGTGTATGAGAGAGAGAGAGACAGAGACAGAGAGACAGAGACAGAGACATCATGGAGCAGAGGAGCAGAAGGGAGGTGCAAAGACAGCAGAAATGTTGGAAGAAATGCCTCAATTCCAAACCAGGCGAGCTGGATTCCAGGGAAGGTCATAGAAGTAGACAGAGAAGCACAATAGAAGCCCATGGAAAGGCAGGACTAGAGGCAGCCACCGTGCAGAGGTAAGTGGGGATAAGAATGGAGTCAGGGAGCTATGGGGGAGGTAAATACCAAGCAGGGGCAGAAGAGGGGTGTGTCCAGCCCCGGAGGGGGATGGGCATTGGCCAGTTGTTTGGACGTGTTGGTAGCTGTAACAAGAGGAGACCAGGACAGTCTGATCAGTGGCAGCAGGGTTTTAGGGTGAGGGGGGAAGTAACTAGTCATGGGGTGTCCATGAAGGGGGCTGATTTAATTCTCTTTCCCTCATTCCACAGCAAGAGGGAGGCACATTCTTAAATCTGTTCCTAGTGGTTCCATTTCATTTTCGATTTGGGCATTTTCACTGCCTCATAGATTCCCTTAGATGTGTTTCCTGCAAAGGGCCTTTTGCATTAGGATGATGTATGCTCAGTTCCTGCTGTGTATTCTGCATAACAGGAACTTGAGCATCAGCTCTGAGCTTTCTATAGAGAGTTGAGGGGTTCTGCTTTCAAATGTGGTGACATGAATGCCTTTTGCTACAGGTTCACAATGGAAGAAGGCCCCCACAGCTTTCCATTAGACAAATATATTCATAGGAACTAGAGATTTCTTTTACAACATAGTAGGGGGGAGTGGTAAAGAATTTTCCTATTAAGAGGTGTCAAAGAATATCCCTCCACTGCTGCAGAAGAAGGTTTTCAGTCTCTCTGTTAACCTCCTACACTCTCCCCATCAAACAGAAAGTGGGCAGGTGCACAAAGACACACTGTGAATTCCTATCATAATTTCAACACACCCCAAGTCAAGGGCCTGGCTATGGCAGCTGTAGCAAGCAAGTTCCCCTCCCTATTGATCAAGATATGGGAGACAGAACTTGGCTGTCTTACATGATGTGGTATCTTGTGAGTTGTGTTTTTCTTCCTAATGTGCTAGAAGGAAAACAGCTGAGTTTTTAAAAATGATAGTCTCTTTTTTAAAATGAGTTTGAAAAGCTGATTAAATTATGTATATTTTTGCCTCTGTGAATATCATGTTAAATGAATATTTTATTTGAAAGGCTTGAATAAATGAAAATAATTTTTGTAATGTTTGGTCTGTTTGAGTCTTTGTGACAACTGTCAAGATTTCTTCACTGTTCAGTTTCCTGAGATAAAAATAATGTTTCCTCAAATATTAAATTGTTTTTTGAAAATCACCTGAAAGAAACTCTTAATTAAATACCCTAATATTAGATATTCTACTGATACAGACTGAGGTTGTCCCCTAGAAAATCATATGATCATACTTGGGCAATATTAATCAGAGACTCTTTAAAATGATGTGACAGGGTCTCCCCTGGTGGCACAGCAGTTGAGCGCTGGGTTGCGAGGCTGCCCTCAGCTTCTGCAGTGCCAGTTCGATCCCCAGCCACCGGCGAGGGTCCCACAGGAAAAAAAAAAAAAATGATGTGACAATAATAGCCGATTTAAGATAATTAGAAATAAATTGAGGGTACCTATATATGATAACCATAATATATATTGGTGATAGTCTTATAAATAAGAACCCATAATACTTTATGTATTAATATATACACCCATATAATACTTCTTAAAAATTAGATGAGAGAGAGCAAGGATAGAGACAAATAGATCCATTCTCAGTGCATTAAAATCTCCCATAAGTAAGACTTACAGAAATGCATTCGACTACTCAAAGACAACACTCTACTCTCCCTCTAGGAAAATCTTACACCCTTCAGTAGGAAAAAAGATCCCACCCTTGGAATATTTGACATCCCATTGCTTCTGAAGCCTTTACATCTTCAAGAAGCACATTCACTTAGAACAGTCTTCCCACTGCAGTCTGGACTCTCCTAATCACTCAGGAAGCCGTCCAAGGGCTGCGCAAACACAGAGAGGAGTCAGCCCCATCCGCAGCTTCCATTCACACACATTCCCCAATGCCCCAAGGCTTGAGCTGCCCTAAGTTGTCCTTCCCGGGAGAGTTTTCCCCCTTAGGAAGGAAACTTCCTCTCCCCATCTCTGATCTTATTCTGGTCCATTAATCCAGAATAGAAAAGATTTTGAACACCCACTGAAGGAATAAATCAGAATTCTGGTGTCTACAAAAGGCTTCTTATCTTTCTTAGTTGTATCCACATTTATTTAGGGTTTTAGAGATGGAGTATTCTGACCTGTGTTGGAATATTTTGAAGGAAGACCATTCCATGTTCCACGTGACACATCCATCCCAGCAACAACCCCAACAAAGAGCATCTTGAGAGCAATCCCACGAAAGCAGACTAGAGACACGGAAAGAAGACAGTTTTTTAAAAACTAAGAGATGACAAAGTTTTGAGAAATATTTGAAGTTTACGTATTTATCTTGCGATAGAATTACATGTAAGGTGATTAGCACCAGGATCCATGCTGACATATTTGTTAGAATTGAAAAATGAGGCAGATTTTTTTTTTCTTTTGGCTGATCGGTTTGACAAGCGCCTTCAATTTGCCAATTAGGAAACATTGTCCTAAGAACAGTTCCCCTAAAATAGATGAGCTAAGTCAACAGCACGAGGTTACAAAAACTGTATTGAAATCATGTGCTAATATAAAAAATACACTCTAATAATTCCCTGGAATATACAGAGATTGTTACAACTGATTAATAAGAACCTAAGTGACTCAATTAAAAGGTGAGACAAAAAACACTGAACAGACTACTCAGCACAGAACGGCAACTAAAACCAACAAGCATATAGCAAAGGCAAAGAAAGATATGAAAGATGCTCAACACCATTAATAGTTGGAGACTCACACATTAAGACATTAAAAATACTAAAAATTTTAGAAATACCAAAATAAATTTAAAAATTGTAAATAAAAAAATTTAAAAATTCAAATTTAAAAAAAAACTCAAGCCAGATGAAGAATTTTTATACTTTCTGAATTTTGAGTCATATGAATTTATTATCAATTCAAATATTAATTCAAGTACTAAATGTAGAAAAGTTTCATTAATAAAGATAAATAAGTAAATTTTAAAAAATTAAAAATTAAAACCACAATGAATAACCACCACAGGCCCAATAAAATAGCTAAAATGATACAGAGCTGATAACAAGCATCGCCGATGGCAATGCTCTAGATTGCTGGTGATAGCAGCGCTTTCAAAAAAGAGTTTGAACAGAAATATTAATTCAAAAGGCACCTGCACCCCTATGTTTATAGCAGCACTGTTTACAATAGCTAAGCTTTGGAAACAACCCAAATGCCCAAAAATAGATGACTGGATCAAGAAGATGTGGTCCATATACACCATGGAATATTACTCAGCATTCAAAAAAGATAAACACATGCCATTTGCAGCAACATGGGTGGCGCTGGAAGGGATCATGCTCAGCGAAATAAGCCAGAAAGAAAAAAGAAAAATACCGGATGGTCTCACTCATAGCAGGAATCTAGAAAACCTAAACAAGGGACCAGGAAAAAGAATAACTATAAGAAAGAAAAAATCAAAATCAACAAGCAACTATAAACCAGAGACAAGCTACGGGGGCAGGGGAGGGTGGCCAAGGAGAAGAGGGATTGGGGTCAAAATAAGGGGGGTGCAATTGTATGGGGAAAATAACCAAGATGAAAATGCATACATTGTGCAAACATTAAAAATGATGTAAGAAATATATAAAAAAAAAAAAAAAGAAAGAAAGAAAAAAGAAAAGAAAAAAAAAACAGTTTGCATTTTCCTATTAAACCAACACACGCTGCCCGTCTAAGCCAGCAGGCTCGCTCCCGGTTACTGGAAGTAAAAGGTACCAGCAGACAGAACAGGGGCCACAACCTGCAGAGGGAGGTGACGACATGAAGCACGGGGGACATTTGGGGTGATATACTATTTCTGTTAGGACTTTGGAGGTGGCGAGAAAGCTGTCAACATTTGTCAAAATTTAGAGAACAGGACAAATCAAATGAGCAACTGTTATTCTATGATTCTATGTAAATCACAGGGTAACCAACTGATTTATAAATGCATTGGCCAAGGTGGAGC